AAACCCAATCTTGTGTTTATTTCATTTTAAAAATTCTACTAGACCCTTAGGCAGCATTAAAATAAATCATAGATAGTGGGAAGATAAAAGGAAAAAAAATCTCACAAAATTACATACATCTTCCCTTTGGAGGTTTTTTGACGTGCTAAGTGAAATTTTATATATTTTATAAGATTTTAAAATACTTCAAAACAAGAAGTTGATGCCAGAAATACACTTGGAAATGAGAGTAGCTTGCCACTGGCAAGCTCTGCTTAAACCTGTTACATGTACACACAGAAAGCGAATCCAACTCCTTCATGCATTTCCCATCAGATAAAATGTATATAGAACAAAAATAATAAGTCAGCAAAAGTTAGAGCTAACCTGCACAAATCTTGTACTGTAGTGAACTCAGGGAGTGACTAGCTTGAAGCAATACATGGTGAAGTAGAAATCATTTTTCTCTAGTTCTGCCTACTTCAGACACTATTAACTCCATCCTTAGGAATAAAGAGGAAAGTTTGGTTGGAATTAGGAGAGGGAAAAGCTGAAATTGGTTAGGAAGATATAGATTTAAGTATTTGTTTTTAGGAGCTGTTTAGTGAAGTTTTTTTTTTTTTTAATTTTAAGAAAAATCTGAATCAGCTGTTATAGTTTGTATTTATGTTTTAATGAAGAGTAAGCAAATGGTGTCCAAAGTTAAGTGACATTTTTTTGGACCTGTTCTCTTCATTTACACCAATAGGCCAGTCTAGGAATTACGACAAACGTATTCAGACATTTAATCCTTCAAGTGTTGGTAAAGAAACCAACATCCACACAGTTACACATTACGTAGAGTGGATCCTTTTACCTCAGTGGTCAACGTCGCGGTAAGTTGTGGGTGAGAGTAATTGGCTGAACATTCACAAGAAAACGACCTCAACCTCTAGCTAACTGCTGTGGCTGTGAGGTGATTACTTTTTTGCTTTTCAAAGAGAAGCTGCTGCTTCAGCATCTTCTGCCGGAGCCCTTGGCACCATTTCAGGCCATGTGTCAGGGGAACCCTTGATCGCATCACAATGACGGAAGCCAAGTGCTGGCCTGCAAGAATTGAGGACTGTTTGTTCACAGAAGATCCTGAGCAGAACCATGGGTGTTACACAGTTCAAGGGTGCCTTGAAGAAAACTGATGCTGCTGTAGAAGGGGATTTCCAAAGGCTCAACTTATTTCTCAGTTGCTGTCCGATAGCCCTCTCCTAGCTTTTATGGAATTTAGCCAACAGTTTTTGCTTGGGCATTTTTCTCCCTGTAGTTCCTTGACTTGGCAAGATTTTGGACAGTTAAATAGAAGAGTTTTCATACATTTTCAAGTAGTGCCACAGTGACTACTACTCTCTGGGGAGAAAAGTATTTTTTTTTTAATGAATACAGTATGTGTTCTTGGTAAAATCCAAAATTAAACTAGCTCACTGTTTTTGTCCTGCTAGCTGTTGATGACATTTAGGTGTGTTGTTTGGTGTGGTGACTCAATTTCCTGTAGGATAGCTGGCAACCTCACATTGAGGCTTTTTTAGTAGGGATGAAAAGGTCACTTACTCGACATCTTAGAACATTTGGGGTTAAAATTCCTAAAAGTTAAGCTTTAATAATGATCCTGAAGAATTGTGGCTACCTATATTGCCTATAAACCTAGGAATTTGGAGAAAGTAGTATTAGCTCTATGCTAATATCAACAGTAATTCTTTATTTGAACAACAGTTTTATAGAAAAAACTGTTCTTTACTCTTGTTAGTAATTATTTTCTTACTTATTGGTATGTTGATGTGCTCTGGTCGATTTTTTTCATTCTCCAGATTTATACAGTGCACATAGAAGTAGTTAGAACTTAAAATACACGTACATACCACATTGTGATTGTATCTAAATGCTGATTGCCAAAAGGCTAATCTGTGATTTGGACATAAAGTATATATTCTGAAATAAGTTGTTCCTCTTGTCACTTCATTGCCTTCTTTAGAGCAAGTCCTGTATTCAAGTGCATAATGTCTTGAAGCATTGAAACTATCCTAAATTACTTTTCTACTATTATGATTAAAAAATAAACACTGCAATATAATGTGTGATGCCACATCCTGCTAGGTCCAAGGCCTGTATTTCTGAAAAGCTTTGAGAAGTTGGTGAAGATGGGGAGGGGATTACTGACACTGGGAGGTCTCCCTGGGGCTCTGACTTCGGAAGAGTTGGACTGCAAGGGACAGAAACATGGAAAGCCAAGCCTTAGAGGTGTGGAGAGGGGATTCCTGGGTTCTGGATGTAACCAGTGACTGGAAAGATGGCTGTGGACAGATCCTAGACACAATGGTTATGCATCTTTAACCCATTGGATGTGCTAACTATGGACAAATCGAATGACCTAAAATAAGTTAATTTCCTCTTACAGTCCCTACATCCTTATTTTATAAAGGAGAGGGAAGGAAAAAGCAAAAACACAAAACAAAACCATCTAGTAGATGTACTACCATCACAACTAGGTAATGCTATACTTGCATATGGAAGATATTAAGTAAAATGAAAATCTGTTATGGTCATAAGCTTAACTACTGTTCAGATCTTTAGGGTTTGGGATTACAAGGGACTTTCTACATTAAATCTTTGTGTAATATTTCAGTTTTTATAACAGGCATGTTATATTTTTATATTCGCATAATCAGGGACAGGCTATATTATAGCCTATATTATATATATAGGTATATATAGGCTATATTATAGCCTATATATACCTATAGGTAAAATATTTTATACTAACTATTTAAAATTATCTTTAAGGTTGTTCCTTTTATTAGGGGGGAAAGCTCCAATCTTAGATTTTAATTCACCAGGCAAGATTTAAGCAGCTGTTTGTGCACCTAAAGTATATATTTACAGAGATTGGTGCAGGAAAAAAAAGTAGAATAACAGAGGCAAATTTTAACCTAGTGTTCTCAGAGTGAATAGCCAACAGTTCAAGAATCCGTGATAACAATGAGCCACGTGCATATGTAACAAATACTATGAAAGTTATTCTAACTTTTACAAAATTTATATAAAAACCTATCTGGAAAATCCCAGGAGCCTGAGATTCAGTCTGTGAAATTTTTTGTTGTGCCACTGATCATTTATGGAATCTAAATTTAAAGGGTAGAATTTCCTCTCCTCCAATACCTATAGATTCGAAGACACAGAAAAAGGAATTCACCAATTTCATGTCAGCTTTTCAATGTATTCTGTCTAACAATAACCAAGTTTTATAAGATGGACTCTTGGGAGTTTGGATATTTTTTCCTCTCTAAAAGGTTTGCTAATCCACATGCTAATGTCGTGAATTTCTCTGCAATTGATCTGTTTATGTAGTGTCCATGGTCCCTCGGGGTCAGCTTTTGTAAATATTTTAGAACCGGCTTCCATATAATGCCTTTGGATATGGTCTTTTCATTTTCTCACGTTTATAGTTTATTCTGCGCATGGTGGGTAGAAACACCCTGCCAGACCTTTTCGGTTGGCATCACAAGGCCATCCTGGTCTCTGATTTGCAGTTCCACAGACGAAGAGCGCACGTATGCAGGACATGTGCAAACTGCCCATACCATGTGGTGCATTCACATTGCTGTTCCTTGAAGATAACTCAGACAATTCTGAATGAGAAAATACAGCCCACTGTCATATCGGTGAATTCTAAAGCGTTCCGACCCACAACATTGTACGTTTTTGTTTGCTTCTTTATGCCCACCTCAAAATTTAGAAGTCTGGTCCTTAGCAGGGGCTAGGCTGGGTACTGAAAAAGTCTGGTCTTAATAGAAGTGCTTTTCGTCTCACAACCACCCTCCTCCCGGAGTAGGTAAATCCTAAACTCTCAGACATGAAGCCCGAAAAACCCTAAAACCCAAACCCGCAGAAACGGCTGCGCGGGTCCTAAAGAACCTTGCTGGTGCCACCCGTCGTGCTCTCCCGCGAAACCTCGCAGGAAGCAGCCGGCGGTGGAGACGATGAGGCTCGGGACAACCGGGAGGGGCTGCGACCCGGCCGGGCGCGCGGGGTCCCCGCGGGGCAGGTGCGTGGCCGCACGCGCGTGCGCGCCAGCTCCCG